GCCTGCCTCTGCCTCTCGAGTGCTGGGATTAAAGGCGTGCACCACCACATCCAGCTTTCAAGCTCAGGAAGCCCCTAAGTCTTTCTCTGTGCTAGGACTCAAAAGAGAAGTGTGTAATTATGAGACTCAGTTTTAAGTAAGTGTCTCCTCAGTCAGAGCTTTTCAGGTCTCTGTCAGAACCTCAACAGTCAATTGCAGCAGTCAAAGGAAGCTGAGGAATGATAGAAATTTTTTCGTACTCGTTAGACAACTTTCAAAAAGGAATCTCCCCACTCATCTTTACTGCAAGGACATGCTGACCATGGGGCAGGTACCTGGTAGATGGTGAGTGAGTGGGATAACATATTGCAGCGACTAGCTCCCAGCAAGTCCACTTTCTGACAGACGTCCATCTTTAATTTGTCAAAAGAGTCTTTGCTGTTTCTCACTTGGATCTGTACCTGCAATCACAAAAATGTCAGTTATTATCAACACCATGGATGGATATCTAACAGGTCTGAAATAAATTTTTCTCAGACACATGGAATCATAACAGTTCCTCTTCTCTGTGCCATTATCATCCCATGGTTAATGATGGAGATGTATATTTATATATACAAATATATACAAATATATATGTGTGTGTATGTATGGACTCTATCAGTGAGCTGCATCTTCATCCACAGGGGGGATATAATTTATGAATTTATTAAACAACATATATTTACAAGTATGTTACTGTAGCAGAATGAAAAATTTAATAATTTCAACTTTTCATTAGAACTAAGAATCATTTTCACATGATTTTTACTTCAGCAAATGTATATTTTCCCACTAGTAATAAACTATTTTCTATCTGTACATAAATTCTAAAATTTTAGGTAAACAATATTTAAAACATGATTAGAGCTTTTGTGAAAGAGATAGAAAAGATGAAACGGGGAGCAAGGTGCCACGCAGAGTGCACCTGCCGAAATATCCAAGCAACCAAGAAGTGATATTAAAACCTCATTTTAGGGGCTAGAGAGATTGACTCAGTGGTTCTGCTCTTCCAGAAGTCCTGAGTTCATTTCCCAGCAACCATATGGTGGCTCACAACCATCTGTAATGGGATCTGATGCCCTCTTCTGGTATATCTGAAGATAGTGGCAGTATACTCATATAAAAAAAATAAATAATTAATTAAAATAAAAAAGAAAACCTAATTTTCAAAAGAAGAGTGTAGAGCCCGGTGCAGTGGCGTGCACCTGTAACCCCAGCTGTCAGGAAGCCAGGCAGGGATGTGTGTTCCTGTCCAGCCTGAGCTGTACAGTGAGATCCTCTCTTAGATGATTAAGCAGTAAAAAGCACTGGCTACTCAGCTCTTCCAGAGGTCCCAAACTCAATTCCCAAAAAGGACATGGCAGCTCACAACCATCTATAATTCAACCCAATGCCCTCCTATGGAGTGGAGACATATAAGCAGGCAAAGTGCTCACATACATAAAAGACATAAACCAACCTAAAGAACAGAATGGGATACTGTTCTTACTTTTCTAAACTTTTCCATTTGTTTGAAGGTATCTGGGTCGAGTTCCTGCGATGCATCTTTCATCCACAGCAGCGCTCCTCTGTACTCTGTGCGTGCCCGCTCCATGCGATTAATGGTCACCAAGGTATCAGAAATGGCCCTCTGACTGAACGTTGCCACTTCTTGCTTAAGACGAGACAGGGGAGTACACAGGGCCAATCTAATAACACAGAGGTAAAGATCAGAAGATTGTACATCCATAAACAAAATTCTAGCTACACTGCAACATGTATTCATCATGGAGATGAGTCTCAAATAGGAAGTTCTTGACATGCTTTGAAGATTTAGAAAGCAGATCCTGAGTTACTGGGGTGCATCTTCCTTCCTTCCTTCCTTCCTTCTTTCCTTCCTTCCTTCCTTTCTTTCTTTTTATTTTTATTTTTTTTTTGGTTTTTCAACACAGGGTTTTTCTGTGTAGCCCTGGCTGTCCTAGAACTCACTCGTAGACCAGGCTGGACTTGAACTTGGGGTGCATGTTTCTACAGGTTATCCCTTTCAACTTTAGGGAACACAAGTTTGTTGATCCAGATATAAACAACCCACCAGGCACACCTACCCCCTAGAAAAGAATTCTAAAGCAATACAGGGCCTGTGCTCCAAAACACAATGCAATTTACAGAGATCGTTCAGTTGGCAAGTGTAGGGAAAACTTGGGTTCGAAAGATTCGATAAAAACGCTAGGAAAACTAATGCGGGTGCAGTTCTTGGCAGCTGAGATGAGGACAGAAAAACAGATATTTAAGGAGCACAGCGCAAACCTAGCTGGGCTAAGGCTGATTTTGATACAGCAGCATGGGAGGGCCCTGGACCGTCTAGCTCAACTCCTTAATGAGGATTTCTGCACTAATATGGTATTACAGAATGAAGCTATCAGTGCCAGATATCAGAGTGCAGGACCCAATAAGGTCAGTGTTCTGATTTTGTCTGGAATACAAGTATTTGAGCTACATTTACAGTATATATACACACACAGAGTCTTTATAACATATATCTTTATGCTGAGTGTGAAATAATAAGTGGAAAGTATCAAATTAAGAAGAAAATCAGGCTGGATATTGTAGTGCATGCCTTTGATCCCAGCACAGGGGTAGGCAGAGGCAGGTGACTATCTGTGAGTTCAAGGTTAGCCTGGGCTACATAGTAACCTTTCTTAAAAAAAAAAAAACAAAAAACAAAAAACAAAAAACAAAAAAACAAAAAAAACCTCTATTTAAAAAGAAAACTTTTGCCGGGCAGTGGTGGCGCACACCTTTAATCCCAGCACTTGGGAGGCAGAGGCAGGTGGATTTCTGAGTTTGAGAGTTCGAGGCTAGCCTGGTCTACAGAGTGAGTTCCAGGACAGCCAGGGTTACACAGAGAAACCCTGTCTTGAAAAACCAAAAAAAAAAAAAAAAAAAAAGAAAGAGAACTTTCCACTTAATTAGAGATGCTATAGTGTCAAAAAGGTGAGTGACTGGAGGAGTGCAGCTCAGAATCAGAGCACCCACTAAGACACATGAGGCCTGGGGCTTGTTTAGTCAGCATCACAGAAGAAAACATGGACACAGAAAAAAAACAAACAAACACACATTTGAAATATTAGTCATTCTGTAACTCTATTATAGTAGACCATTTGTAAAATAGAAATATAATCCAAAATGCTATTTTTAGGAATTAGGTATTTGCCGGGCGGTGGTGGTGCACGCCTTTAATCCCAGCACTTGGGAGGCAGAGGCAGGTGGATCTCTGAGTTGGAGAGTTCGAGGCTAACCTGGTCTACAGAGTGAGTTCCAGGACAGCCAGGGCTACACAGAGAAACCCTGTCTCGAAAAAACCAAAAAAAAAAAAAAAAAAAGGAATTAAGTATTCAAGAGCACTAATTTTTAAGTAATTCTTTTCTTTTGAATGCAAATGAATAATTTAAAAATAAATGATTAAATGATTAATTAGAATAAAAAATATATCCCTAAACACATTTCTCTTGAAATACATTTCACTGCCTTATTAGAATCAGCAGTGGGTTTTCTTTGGGAACTTAGCACACATCGGGAGGGTCACATGACTGTGGTCAAAGGGTGAAGGAAGCTGAGGCGGACCTTTGCTTGGCTGAAGAACAGAGGACCTTGCCGGCGGCATCCATCATTTTGCCAGCTTGAGTTGCATCCCGCTCCGCTTGAAACTTTAAAAAGAGCCCTAGTTCATTTTCTTCCTCTGATATAACTAGGGAAAAGAATTAAAGTTTAGTTAATTCTTTCATTTCACCATTTGCTTAAAACATAACAGGCAGGAGACACAACTCTACACGCACCACCAAGCCTGACAGCCTGAGTTCAATGTACGTGTGGAAGGAGAGAACTGACACACATAGACACAGGCACATAGACACACACACACTCAAATGTAATTTAAATTTTTAAATGAAGAATCACAAGGGAAGGAAAATTCTCATGTGTGTCCCTCACCCACTGGGCAGAGGCTGAAAACACACTGCTTAGCTCTGGACGCTTCAGATGCTGAGTCAGCAGAACTTTCTTCTGCAAAACTGACTGTTAACAAATAAACCCACAAATGAGTCAAACCATAAAACCTGTGTGTGGTGCACTGACACCAGCATGGACCATGAAGAGATAGCCCAGGGATGCTGCCAGATGTTGAGAAAAAACTGAGGAAAAACAAAGAGACTTTGACTAATTTGACAACTTTCATATCAGTCATAGATTTAAAAACCAAACCAAACTGAAGGGCTTGGCAAAGAGATTTAAAAACCAAACCAAACTGAAGGGCTTGGCAAAGAGGCTAAGAGGAAGTGGAGCTCCCCAAGTGTGAGGCCCATGTACACACAGACGTCAGCTTAGGGTTTTGTTTTGTTTTGTGCTTATTTTCTGAGACAAGGTCTTAGTGTGTTGGATAGCCTTGACTCCCTGTGTAGCCCAGGTTGGCATCTATATTATGAACCTCCTGCCTCAGTCTTTTAAATACTAGACTATACACACACACCATCACACAATCACACATGGCTGGTATGACATTTCTATTTAGTTGCTCTAGGAATTCTCTGTCTCTGCCCCTCCATCCCCCCACCCCCAGGGTCTCTCTCTACAGAGCCCTGGATGTCCTGGAACTTGAAAAGCTCTACCAGCCTTACCTTCTGAGTGCTGGAATGAAAGCGTGCATCACCACGCCTAGCCTGGAATTCATTCTTACTATACTTTACAAAAGTGTCAGACTAGAGCAAACCACAAATCAAAATACTGCTCCTTTACTACAGACTATTTTAGGATCCTCAGTCTAGTCGTCTACCTGGTAACTTCTAAACCACTCTCAAATGGATAGAAGGAAAGGCCTTCAGGGCTCCACCTGAGTCAAGGGGACCCTGAATGACAGCAATGTCATGCCTACTTTCACTTTAGCCACAAGAGATTGAAAACTGAAAGGGGTTTCCTGTGCTCAAGATGTGGCGGCAGAACATGCTGCATCCTCATGCTGTGACAAACCCTTGATGTCACAGGAACCAAAACTGAGGAAATGAGGGATGGTTGGACAGACTTTCCCCTGCTGGTGTGGCCAACATGGTAATAGCTACAGTTAAGCCACAAACCAAAGATAAGACAAAAGATCCATCTAGCATTGATAATTTGACTATGAAATTTGAGAGAAAAAGTTTGGGTGTGTCTTTAGTTGAAGATAATGCAGGGGTCACAATAAACAATGAAGATGAAGGGAAAGTTTTGTCACTGCAGGTCCAGCTGCAAAGGAGCCTGCAGACTGGGGGCCCAGAATTGCATCTGTAGCGGTCTGAATGAGCATGGCCCCCACAGACTCATAGGGAGTGACACTGCTGGGGGGTGTAGCCTTGCTGAGAATAGGTGTGGCTCTGTTGGAGGAAGTATGTCCCTGGAAGTGGACTTTGAGGTCTCAAAAACTCAATCTAGGACTAATGGCTCATCATCTCTTTCTGCTTTAAAAAGTAAACATAAGACAAGAAAAGCTGACATGGAAGCCCTGGGGCACCACAGCAGCAGTGCCACCCAGCCCTCTTCCCTCTGCTCCTCTCTGCTGTCCACAAGGTGACCAAGGCCACAGAGCACATGATGCAATGGGGAGGTGACTTCACAGTCAGTGTTACACCTTTAATAAAACCATGCACTGCATTAGAAGCAACTAACACAATCCAGAGAGGATGAATCTGGGAAAGCTTGCCCTGGTAAAACACTGCTAGTATTTACATAGTTACAAAGTCAAAAATTAAAATTTCCTTTGGTATCTTCTAAATATAGACCTAACAGTGCTTCTCACTGTGCTGAACACACCTCTGTCCAGTCTATACCCAGCCACTGGACAGAGGAAGAGTGTTCATGCTTTTAACCTACAATCATTGTGTTTGGGTCCCAAACTTTAGTGATGACTCAAAGGTGTGAGTCTACTGCTTTTTGTACAATACAGACTTCAATATAGATTACAAACAGTGGTAATGCCAATATGTCTAAAATGTTTATCTCTTTTTATTAACTTAAAACATTCTTGTAAGCTTCAGGGAGTCATGAGACTTAGATCTATCTCTCACAGGTCAAACGATTCAGATAAGTACTCCTGTCAATCTACAACCAAAATTTCCATGCCTACTGTCTACCTCTAAGGGTGGGCTCTCCCTTCCCCAACTACAAGGACCACAGGCCTGAAAGTTTCAAGTGTACACTGTTAGCATTTCCTCGAGGCTCCGCCCAACAGTTACCTAGCAACGGCCAGGTAAAGGTTAGGAGCCAGGCACTGTTCAGTGAAAAGGACTGTTCAGGCTTCTCCTCCTTATTCTCTCTTTCCCCTCTCCCCACCTTCCCTTTCTCCATCTATTATTTGTCCCTCTTCCCTCCCATATGTCAGCTCAGAAGGTGGTCAGAACAAATGGCTGAGGTGTCTATTAACAGCGCGGGCCAGCTCTCCCTGGACCTCCTCCCAGCACCCCTCGCCTCCTCCGCCATGAACGTCTCTTACCCAGGGCCTGGGCTTGAATTGAATTCCCTTCCCCCAGCTTCCTTTCCTTCCCCACCTTTTTGGCCTCCTGCTGTCTTGGCTCTTTTCTTCCTGAACCTTTCTTCATCCTTTCCCTCTCTCCTCTTCCCTCTCTCTTCTTGTTTACTCCTCGCTCCCCCAAAGTTTGGTTCAGTCTGGACTCTTCCAGATGCCTCTGGCTGTGCGTTAATAGCGATAATAAAAACCTTCCCAACCATACCAAGTCTTCAATTTCATTCAGGAGTCATTTTAATTAAACATTCTGGTTAGTTGAGAGATATGCATTTTCTTTGGCTCATAACTTTATTTTATTTATTTATTTATTTATTTATTTATTTATTTTGGTTTTTCGAGACAGGGTTTCTCTGTGTAACCCTGGCTGTCCTGGAACTCACTCTGTAGACCAGGCTGGCCTCGAACTCAGAAATCTGCCTGTCTCTGCCTCCCAAGTGCTGGGATTAAAGGCGTGCGCCACCACTGCCCGGCCGGCTCATAACTTTAATATTAGGAAAAAAATCTTCATTTCTGTGTGAGGACTGAGGGTTCTCTGGGAACACGGAACACGTTGTTCACCAGGTACAAAGCGAATATAGTCTTACCTTTTATTGATGTTGAAAGGGCAGGTGAGGCTCAACCTGTGCTGCTTTGGTGACGGGACCTGTCAGCCAGCATGAACAGATACCCTACGCTGACAGCCTCATCCCTGGGCAACTGATACCATGACCATGTATCATACTGTTCCGTGACACAGCAAATGGTGAGCTCACATAGCTCAACATTCAATCTCCACTACACAGGTTCATAGTCTTGTATGACCTGCTGTATTTGTCTGACAGTGCTAGCAGCAGAAGACCTATCAGTATAAGAGTCTCTAGATAACACATATTTCTGTATCATCCTAAAGAGAAAGTGCACATCAAAACCTGCACATATTATTCCTTCCTTACTCTGAAATGCCACGAGGATGGCCAAAGATCTAGTGATTTCATGGCAAAACAAACCTGCCAATCTTTATAGACATTTCAATTTCAGTGGACCATGAAGGTCAATTGGTCATGGAAGCCTTTTACAACTTGGTATTACCCTTAGTAATCTGGCCCCAAGTTTCCTTTGCTTTACTCTTCTTGGTCTTAGTTACAAACTCTTGTATGGATGCATACTTTTCTCTTTCTTTAATCTCATTCCCTGGCCTCCAAATCTCTATCCACCCGCCATAAACCACCTAACCATAACCCTCTGCAGAGTTCCCTTTGTCAATTAATATAGCCCAAGCTAATTCCATCTGCAATTCTGGGTTATGGCTCTAAACTGACTCAATTGCATGCTTTCTGTATCTTTTATTTTGTTGCAAAAAGTTCAACTATGTCACAGTATATACGATACATTCACACACAGAGACACACACATGCAAACCCTTGCCTAATGATGCCATACTGGAGTGCTTCTTCAATGTGAGCTTTGATTATATAATGGTAAGCCTGACTTACAACTTCAGAAGACAGCATTTTATTTTATTTTAATTTTATTTAATTTTATTTAATTTTATTTTATTTTATTTTATTTTATTTTATTTTATTTTATTTTATTTTTGAGTCAGGGTTTACCCAGTCAAGTAACCCAGACTGATCTGGCAGTAACCTAGTCCGCACTAGCCTCCCACTCAGTGCTCCTCCTCCTCAAGCCTCCTGACTGCTGGGGTTACCAGGGAGAGGCACCACACAGACAAGGAAGCAATTTACCAATGACCAAATGTTTACTGAATACATGCTAGGTACTGTTTTTAAGGTTTAGGGACACACAAATAAACAAAAATGATTCTTGCATTATCAGATCTAGAACAATGGCTCAGTGCATAATAACACTTGCCACCAAGCCTGATGACCTGAATTCAATCCCCAGAGTCCACAAGTTGGAAAGAAAGAATTGGCTCCTGCAAGTTGTCCTCTGAGTTCCATAAATATGTCCTGGCATGTGCATGCCTTAGTCCCAAGTAAAAGATAACTTACAGAGGGAGTTCCAGGACAGCCAGGCTTACACAGAGAAACCCTGTCTCAAAAAACCAAAAATAAATAAATAAATAAATAAATAAACTAATAAGTAGTAAAATGTTAAAAAGAAAACAAATTCTAGGTGTTAAAAAACATTAGATGAAATGCATTGAATGTTGAGCATTGTAAGAACATGGGAGAGATATAAAGGGGGCATTTAAATTTAGATATGGGGTCAAGGGAAAGCCTCATCAAAATCCCCACTGAAAACCTAAGGGAAGTTAGGAAGCATATGATACAGACGCTTGTTGTGAACCGAGTAACATAGTTCAATAAAAGAATTTTAGGTTATGAGATCAGAGAGGCAGCCATATCCAGTAAGCCACTATACATACGTATATATGTATACATACTTCTATATGTATATGTGTGTGTGTGTGTGTGTGTGTGTGTGTATGACCTGAGTTCAATCCCCAGAGTCCACATGATGGAAACAAAGAATTGACTTCTGTAATTATATCCATATATATATACATACACATATATATTCATTCATTCATATTCTACTATAATAGAAGTGAAGAAAGAAATCCAAAGGCTACGTTCCAACTTTAAGAGGTCAGGGTCAGAGAAGAACCCAACAACAGCAGGATACTGAGACGTAAGGAAGCCAAAGAGGAAAAGCAAAGCAGGGTGGGCGGGCACACGGAAGCAGAGTGATGGAGGTGGATAGGGGGAACTCATCATCTGTGGGGATGAGAATTGGCCACTGGACTGTCCTTCCTGTGCCCTTGACCAAAGGTCCTCAGAGGAGAGGAAGTAGCTGTGCTGAGTGTAAGGTAAAACATAAGGAAAGGCCGCTGTGGGCTGTTCTCCTGAAACTCCAGCATCAGGAGGGTGGGGGAAGGGAGATGCTAGGCCAGCTCAGCCACACAGTGAGACTGTCTCAAAAAAAAAGGAATAAAGTCCCTACATGGCACACAGACAGCCTTGTCAACTGTTTCTGTGAGAGAGGAGGACAGGAACTGATTTGACTGATTGTAGGGTCTGCAGGCTTCGAGAGATGGAAGCAAATCGTAAGACTCACCAAGAAAACTGGAGAGCAGAAAGTGGGTGCTGTCACATGATTTAATGAACCTCAGAAGGCAAAGACAGACACTAGGGATTTGGGGAACAGGCCACTGTAAATATTTATAGTTTGCAATAAAATCATATGAGATGGTTTGATAAACCACTGCTTTCTCATTAAATGATTCATTTTAAAAAATGCATGCCAATCCTACGTGAAATGGGAATGATCAGATATCTAGGAAGTCATACCATTGAGTCTTAGCTGGTATTTCTCAACTATTTTCACGAGTTCATTGCATGTCTCCTGGATGGAGTGAAAAACCTTGAAAGATAAATTTATTAGGACAATTTAAAGAACAAAAAACAAATACAACTTTTAGTACCTCAAAAGCAGAACATTAGCATAAAAGTGTCAGTTCTATTTCATACTTATATGCACTTTACATGGCTGTGATGTATGGTTTAAACATTAATTATGTCTATTGTCCTTGACTGGGATGTACTTTAGGCTTAGTTATATTACTGATATAGAAAGCACATTTAAATTTCCCTGTGAATGCTGGAGAAAAAGGTATGAATGTGTGCCGTCTGCCTACACAATCTGTTCTCCCTCAGCTCCCAGGTTATCTGAACACTACCAAGTTATATCCCTTATAATCTGCATCAAATACTGCCAATGACACATGACAAGAGAATACTTTAGAAACAGTTGATGCTCAATATGGCTTTTACTAATATTAGTCAAATCAAAACAGCCCAATAAGTTTACTATAAAAAATAATGTACTGGCTGGCTGTGGTGGCACACACTTTTAATCCCAGCACTCTGGAGGCAGAGAAAGGTGTATTTCTGTGAATTTAAGGTCAGCCTGGTCTGCAAAGTGAGTCCAGTACAGCCAGGGCTATACAGAGAAACCCTGTTTCAAAACTACCTGCCACCCCCACCACCAAAAAAATGTACTGGGCCCAAGTAGTGGTGGCATACTTGGGAGGCAGAGGAGCAGAGAGGGGCAAAGAGGGGCAGAGAGGGGCAGAGAGGGGCAGAGAGGGGCAGAGAGGGGCAGAGAGGGGCAGAGGAAGGTGGGTCTCTGCGTTAGAGGCCAGCCTTGTTTACAGGTCAAGTTCCAGGACAGCCAGGGCTATACAGAAAAACCCTGTCTTTTAATTAATTAATTAATCAATTAATTAAAAATAATACACTAGGCAGGTGTGGTACTGTAAGGGAGATGGAGCAGGGATCAGGAACTGTGAGTTCAAAGCCACCTACAGTGTGGACATACATACCACATGTAAAGCAGTACATGGAAGGTTTTTGTTTTGTTTTATTTGGAGACAGGATGGTCACAATATTTTGTAAAATTTAAAAAGTGAGGATTCTGAAAGATTTTACCCTAAAGAAATGACAAAAGTTTAAGGTGTGTTTAACCTAAACATGATATATAATATATATTGAAGATTACACATATGTTGAAGGTTTCAAAGTACCCCATTTCTAAAAAAGATTTATCCTTATTTTTATGTGTTTTGCCTGTAGGTATGTCTCTATACCATGTGCATTCCTTGTGCTACTGGAGATCAGAAGAGGGTGTCTGATACCCTAAGACTGGAGTTACAAATAGTTCTGTGCTGTCATATGAGAGCTGAGAATGGTACCTAGGTCCCCTGGAAGAGCAGATAGGGCTTTTAACTGCTGAGTCAACTCTCCAGACCTGTATTCCATTAATGTGTACAATTTTTATGTTTTTACATATCAGTTCAAGGCTAGCCTGGTCTACAGAGTGAGTTTAGGCCAGATAGGGCTACACCGTGAGACCTTGACTCAAAAAAAAAAAAGGAGGAGGGGGAAGAAGAAGAGGAGGAGAAGGAAGAGGAAGAAAAGGAGAAGGAAGAAGAGGAGGAGGAAGAGAAAAAAGGCCCTGAGTTTATTCCCAGTACCATAAAACATAAATAGAAAACCACAAGTAAATAATAAAAACAAAAACTTTAATCATTTGCTATTTGGTACCAACTAATTTATTTCAGTGGGGTATAGATAATATTTAGAGGGCTATAAATTATTATGACACAACCTATAATGAATGTACAGTCTTAACTAGGATTTTAATTGTTAATTAATAATTGGCTTGATACTACAACAAATATGTTAGGAAATTAATCAATTCCTAGTTTTATTACCCATTCTGTAAATGTCCTAGTTATAATACCTGTGATCTTTAATAGGTGTCTCTGAATGACAGTCACAGTTAAGCAGCCTGTAGCAAAGCTGCTTTTATCCCTGTGCTGCTAGGCTATGCCAACTTGAGACAAGCTAGAGCCGGCTGAGAGACGGAGCCTCAGCTGAGGAAATGCCTCCACAGGATAGGGCTATAGGAAAGTCTGGAGGGCATTTTTCTTAAATTAGTGACTGACAGGGTAGAGCCCAGCACATTCTGGGTAGAGCAATCTCTGGGCTGGTAGTTCCACATTATACAAGAAAGCAGCCAAGCAAGCCACTAAATAGTACTTCCCATTGCCTCTGCATCAACTTCTGCCTGAGGGTACCACCCTGTTTGGGTTCCTATCCTGATTTCCTTCAGTGATGGACTACAGATGTGAAAGTGTAAGCCAAGTAAACCTTTCCTCCTCAGCTTGCTTTTGGTCATAGTGTTTCCTCAAAGCAATAGTAACCCTAACTAAGACATCGCAAAGCTCCTAGTGTAGACGTTTGCTGCAGTCTCTGCTTGGAGTCACAGATAATAACCAGGTCCATGCAATACAGTCTTCACATTTACCTCAAGTTTAGCATCCAGCTCTGCATCAGATGCAACCACATGCTCATCCTCCTTTTTTCCTGTTGCTTTGATAAAGACCTGTTTAGTTTTCCAGTATTTCTTCTGCATTCTGCTCACTACTGACTGGTTATCTTCTGGTCTGAGATGCTCAAAGGAATCCATGGAGTAGCTAAAACAGACTAAAATTAGGCTTTTTAAAAAAAGTTTCCAATAGATTAAAAAATATATTGTATTAAAAAACATAAATATCTAATCCCAGCACTTGGGAGGCAGAGGCAGGTGGATTTCTGAGTTTGAGGCCAGCCTGGTCTACAGAGTGAGTTCCAGGACAGCCAGGGCTACACAGAGAAACTCTGTCTCGAAAAACCAAAAAAAACCAACAACAACAACAAAATCATAAATATGTAGTTAATGTGCCAGTATTTTATTGACAAATTAAAATTAAATATAAACATAATGCCTGCTGTCTATGATCTAGGTTTATTTACACACACACATTTTCCATCACTGTTCCATCTGTACAGAGCCGTTCTGCACCTATTGTTATATGTAAAGATTTGGAATCATGCACTTCTTTAAATAATAAAGAAATACTTTAATATCCAATAAAACAATAAAAATGAGCAGCAGAGTGGCCCAGACCTTTAATTCCAGCACTTTGGAAGTAGAAGCTGGGAGATTTCTGTGAGTTTGAGCTTGATCTACAGAGTGAGTTCCAGGACAGCCATGGGTACACAGAGAAACCCTGTCTAGAAAAAACAAACAAACAAAAGTAAAATAAAATAATAAAATAAATAAATAAAAATGAAAACTTTAGATATGAAGGAGACAACACTGTGAGCCATCATCATAAAGCTGATGTCTAAGGGATAGCTCTAACATAGTTGACATAGTTACATAGAAGAAAATGAAACATGAAAAGCATTTTGTAAAGATGCTAACAAAAGAAACAACAATAATTGATACTAAAGCCCAACTTATTCCTGTGAACTAGGGGAACATAACAGAGAGTGACTCATTCATTGTATTTTCCTTGCTGGCAAAACAAACCAACAAATAAACAAAATTAAAAACTTCAAAAAACCCAGGTTCATTTCCCTTTTATTTTGAAGCACTAATTAAGTTAAAAGTAGGCTAATTTCTAAATTTCCAGGGCCAACCAAGAGCAAGAAAACCGAGCAAAATACACAAGGTAGAGGAGAGGAGAGTGAGGAAGCCTGACACACAGCAACACCAATGCTAGAGAATAACTGCATTATTTAAAATGATACACAGACTTCTCTTTAAACACAAAGCATCCAAAGCCATTAAAAAAGCCTAGTACTCAGTGTCAGAGTGTTTGTCTAGCATGTATGAGGCCCTGGGTTCAATCCCCACTAATCTAAAAATCAAACTCAATTAAAAAATAAAATCCTGAAAAGCTAAAAGCCACAATCCAACCCAACCACATACGGTGTGATATTCACCTAAGACAAAAAAGACACAAAGGAATAAAAGTGAGGAGATGTCATAGCAGATCAATATATACCAAGATTTAACATGTTGGACATAGACAATTTATAGAAAATATTGAAACAAGTAGACTCTAGTTGCAAAGTTCAAGTAGATTAAAAACCAACAAGATGGGGCTGGAGAGATGGTTCAGTGGTCCAGGGCACTCACTGTTTGCTCTTCCAGAGGACCCAGGCTCAATTCTCAGCACTCACATGACAGCTCGCAACCATATTTAACCCCAATTTCAGAAAATTCAATGTCCCCTTCTGGTCTCTGGTGGCACCAGGAATGCATGTGATACATATAAAAACACATAGATACACTTGCTGTGCATAATTACATGCAGGCAAGACATCTACACATAAAATGAATAATTTTAAAAAATTGACTAGCCGGGCAGTGGTGGCGCACGCCTTTAATCCCAGCACTTGGGAGGCAGAGGTAGGCAGATTTCTGAGTTCGAGGCCAGCCTGGTCTACAGAGTGAGTTCCAGGACAGCCAGGGCTACACAGAGAAACCCTGTCTCGAAAAACCAAAAAAAGAAAAGAAAAGAAAATTGACTAGCTAGCCAGTGTGATACAAGTCCAGTACTTGGGAGACTGAGGCAGAAAGATCTCATGGTCAAGGCAGTCAGGGATACAGAGTGAGACTCTGCCTAAATAATTAAATAAGTAAATAAAACTGTCTGAAATGGCTTAGGAGCGAAGTGAAGACAACAGACATAAAATCAAAATGACCCACAAACAGGATCAGATTTAAGAAGAGAGACACAAGTAGACAGTGGGGAAGAGAAAGGCCATAAGAAAAAGCAAGACAGAGTGGGACAGAAACACTCAGGAAACACGGTAGCCCTCAAACTTCTGAGTGTCAGTCATGATGTATAAATACAATGAGGTGGATAAACCTAGGTAGGATAATACAAATACAATTATAAATAGGTACGTCATAGACAAACTGCTTAAATCTGCTTAAATCCAAAAACAGAAAAAATAGCAAAGAAAACTGTAAAAACAGAAAAAAAGCACATTTTTTTTAAAAAAGAGCTTCACTCTGTAGCTCAGGCTGATCTGGAACTCACTAACTATGTAGATCAAGTTGGCTTTGAACTCATGGTGATGCTCCTGTCTCAACATCTTGAGTGTTGAGATAACAGACAGGAACCACCAGTCCTGGATAAGAAAACTTACACTGGAAAACTATGAAGCTGGGCAGTGCTGGAACACATCTTTAATTCCAGCATTCGGAAGGCTGAGGCAGGAGGATCTCTGTGAGCTCATGGCCTCTACAGAGTGAGTTCCAGGGCAGCCAGGGCAACAAAAAGAAACCCTGTCCTGGTGGGTAGGGGAGAAAGAAAATGAAAACACAATGAAACAAAAATACAGATAAGAGGTGGGTTTTCAATAAAATAGCAAAGTTAAGTAAAATAGAAAGCCTGGTCATGGTAGTGCATGCCTTTACTCCAGGTACTTGTGAGACAGAAAGGTAGGCAATTCTCTAGAGGCCTGGTCTACAGAACAAGTTCTAGGACAGCCAGAGTATACAGAGAAACTCTGTCTCAGAAGGGGAAAAAAAGCTATACTTAAAGATGCTGGAAGGAAAACCAACCAACCAACCAAACAAACCAAACCATATTAACTCATAATTCTACATTTATGAAACTGTCTGTTAAAAATAAGTCATTGTGGGAGTGCACACCTGAAATAAAAGGACTAAGAGGTTGAGGCAGGACTATTATAAGTTCCAGGCTATCCTGGGCTGCAGAAACAAGTTCTTAAAATAAAGAAAATGAAGACATTTTAAGATATAAAGCCTAGAATGAATGGTTAAGGTACAAATGCTAACTAACATCTGGCTAGGCTATTTATTTGTTGTGGTGGTGTGTGTGTGTGTGTGGTACACATGGATGTCAGAGGACAACTTGTAGGAGCTGGTCTTCCCTTCCTGTTGTGCTTGAGGCGGAGCCCTTACCTGCTGAGCCACTTGCTACCCCCAGATGACTCTTAATTTCTTTAGAGAATAGCCATTTTCCCTTGCCTGAGGGAAAACTCAGCTAGTCCTTTGGCTAGCTATTGGGTGTGTACAGGAGAGTGACTAATTATCTATTATCCTTAGCCCACAGATCTCCTGGGAAAACAGACTACCTTATTTATAGCAGCTTGCTTTATGAATATTCTACCGTTTCTCTATTTTGCTTTTGGTCAAAAATTTTTATTGTCATTTAGTCTTCCAGGAATACTAAAAGCTCTCATGTTCCCAGGGCATCTCTGGCATTTGCTGCCTTGAGCACACACGTGTTGTTTGTTTTGCATGGATTATGTACTTGCCTCAGTATCATCCCCATGACTAGGAAGGAAGATGGGTGGCAAGTGATTAATCCAGTCATTTTTAAGTGCAAAGTTTATTATTTATGGTTTTGGCAGTTAGTGGTGGGTTGGCCTAATACTGTTTGTATTCTAATGCTACTTTTGGACCCTCAAGACTAGTTGCCCCAGAGACACAGAGTCCACATGTAGATGCTGAGTATCCACACGTTATTTATGATTGGTAAATAAAGATGCCGACAGCCAGTAGCTGGGCAGAAGAGACATAGGTGGGATTTAGGTTTCGAGAGCTTTGGGTTGGTGAGAGAAGAAAGAAGGTGCAGAAGGAGGAAGGAAAAGCTGCCATGGGTTAGAAGTCAAGAGAACTCAACCCTGAGGGCTGGCCAATTGGAGTTAAGAGCAGCCCAGATGAAACATAGTGAATAATAACTCAGGGTTATCAATAGGAAAGTAGATTCTAACAGCATGGAAGGTAGGGAGCTGACTAACTTTTGTACTGTCTAAGGCTTATTGTAAAAATAAAGGTTGTGTGTGCTTTTTTTTAATCTGGGAACTAAATGGTCTAAGGTGGTATAGAAACCCCAGATCAGGATTAACTATTTCTACAACAGTCCTCTTCACTCCCCTTCTGGAATGCATGTGGTACATGTAGGAGCCCTTCTGGTGCGTACTCTCCAGGCCTTATCTCACGTGCTTTGCTTGACTTTCGTTCCTTGTCACATGACCTCTTCGGGTGGTTGTTTAAGACAGAACCCACATAAATGCTGGGAATAGTGCCTTGCACTTGTAACCTCAGATCTGAGGTTGGGATGGGGCAAGCTAATCCCAATGGTTTACTGGCCAGCTAGTCTAGTTCAAATGGCAAGCTCCAGATTCATCAAGAGAATCTGTTTTTAGAAAGGCAGAAAGTGGTAAAGGAAGGCACTCAAATTTGACCTCTGGCCTCTGTATATGGACATACAGGCGAGTAAACACAGACACACATGTGATTAACTCTCTCTCTCTCTCTGACACACACACACACACACACACAGAGCACAAGACAATAGTCAATTCACTAAAGAACTTTAAAAGTTCAAAAGTTCAATGAATTCACAGAAGTATATCCCACCAATAGCTAAAGAAATACAAATAACCAGGCAGAGAGAAGTGGAATTCCAGGCCAGCTAAAGATATATATACACTCAATCATGTCTCAAGGGGGGAGGGGAGGGAGGATGTCAGATGATTTGAAAGTATTGAATCTTCCAGGAAAAAATGAAATAATATGTGTTATATTACATAACTCTTTTCTCTAAAATTAAAATATCCCACATGCAAAATGTCCATATTTTAAAGCTCTGATGT